TCTACTTCTGCTCACATCACGTATTGAAGTATGTGTACGATCAGTGTGCTGAGCATATACTGTACTATAAGCATTCTGGACCCAAAGAAATCGGATTATGAAGGTTGTTAATAGCTACGTGGCTGATTGTAATAAGAATAAAGTTTTTATTTTATTTTTTTTTTTTGTAACATGCATAAATGTGTTATCGTGTGTTTCCTTTAAGATGGTCTTGCAGTACCACTCTCAAAGTTTTGCTTTTTCAATTAGTGTGTCACTAAAAGTTATATCAAAGCTTTATCAGTTCAAGTTTCTTGCTTTTCATAATACTTTTTTTCTGATGCAATTTTATATTTTCAAACATGGCGAGTTAAATATAAATTCATTTAAATATATAGTTTTGTACTTTTCTACCATGTAAATGTGCAATGTATATAAAAGTTATAATGTGTATTTGTAAATAAATGATGAGTGAAAAAATAAAAAATGGAATTTTCCCTATATGTGGTCCTCTGGCTCTGGTTTTTAAGGGTTCCAACCCTCTGGTACAGAGAAGAGATATTGACAATTAGAGGAAAGAAGGCTTGTGTATGACATAAGAGTGGAACAGGTGATCAAAGCTTTCAGCAGAGATTGATCCCAGGAAAGTCTTCTTTTCAGGAATGGTCAATGTCTTCACTTTTTCAGTGTTACATAATTTTAAGCCCAGGTAAACAATCAATGAGAAGAGGATCAATGAGAGAGCATTTCTCTCTCTCTCTCCCTCCTCTATGTAAAAAGTTTGCAATTTATCGGACATTTAAGTTTGCATGCCTCAACGAGGTTTAGAGTATGCACTTGTGTTTTTGCATTTAGGCTCCACATTTGTGTTACTGCGGTATTCTGTTGAAATTGTATCATCATTTTAGCTGGCCAACAGAAAAAAGCCAAAGCTGGCCTCATTGCCCAAGTGCTAGAACAGGAGCAGTCACCACAGCAGACACGCAGGTAATCAAAGCGCATGTGGCCTCTTGGAGAAGACCTCTCCCTAAAGGAAGTTGAACTCCAAGATTCTGCTTATTGAACCAATATTTGCTTTTCCAAGCAGATTCCGATAGAGTGAATTGGGAGAAATAGTCATAAGAACAGAGAATCAAGAAGAATGGTAATAGCCAAGAGCACAGCAAAGACAAAAAATCATTTTTAAGCTATTTGGTCTATTCTATTTTGACAAACAAGGCCCCAGTTTGCAAATTTCTTATTGTGCTGCATACAGCTTAAAAACATACTTAAGCACTTTATTCAGTAGTGTTTAAGTACTTCTCTGAATTGAAGCCTGAGAGCCAAAGTTGACTTACCCATTTCTTTTAAATACAAAACACATTTAAAGGCTCTTCGTGTTATAGTACTCTGTATATTTTTTACTATAATCTCTAATTTGTTATGGATTGTTTAGCATTATCCAAAGCAAATATAACTTATTTATGAATAACTACATAAAAACTACAGGAATGCATTTATAATATTGTATTCAAAATACTACCAAAAAGTCTCTAACCTACACCCTCCCATTGCTTAGTTTAGACAAGTAATCTCTTTGGAAGGAAGTGCGTGATGAGAGGAGCAAGGTGAGCAGAATTTTAGTTTCCTGCGGGCAATAGAACTGAGAAAAAAAGGCAAGGGGGTTGGGAGAACAGAGGGATGGAAAAGGAGCCTATCAAGCAATCTCCTAAGGAATTAATAAATGCATGACAATTAAACAGAGATGAAATGTTTATAGATGTGCAGAGTATCAGAGGAGATTTTTCTCAAATTCAGATAGGTGCCAGCTACTTCATTTCCAACAAAATGACAATATTCAAGTCTGTTTTTAATTGTAAATATATTTACATGTCTTAAAGAGCGACTGTAGCAGAGCAGGATTTCTGGGTTCTAATTTTATGCCCCATCATTGCTTCACAAAGTAACTTTGAGAAAGGGCCAAATTCAAAAAAGCAAGAAAAATGCCAGTAAGTAGTATTTAGGCATGTATCTTTTTGCCAAAAGCCACAAAAACTACATCAGGTTTCTGCTGTTAAAAAAAAAAAAATGAAGTTCTGCAATTGTATTATCCCATTATTTCTTATATTTCTGTGCAGCTGAAAGTCTTGAAACTGTCTTGCGCCAAAGCCTCACTGTGATACACAGGTGGGGCATCTCCAGAGAGCCAGACATGCGAGGCATCCTCTGAGCACACCTAACGTACACTAACCTCATCATGAAGCGCAACAGCCCAGAGACTTTCTCCCAGAAACATGTCCAGGGGTGGTGGTAGCTCGACTGCCAACGTTTTGCATACGTGTAGATAAGACACTTGTTCATGAAGTTCAGGTTTGTCGCCAGCCTCTTTCTGGGGAGATCATTCCCACATCTCCCAGGTGAGCAGCTTCAACCAGCCCAAGGTGAAGCTCTGGCTGGAGAACGGTCTAGTGTGCTTGCTGTAGCCATGCTTCTCTATTGGAGAGGAAGCAAGATTAATTGAAAGAGGATAATTTGCAACCCTAATAGGTGCTTCTTTTGAAGAGGAAGTCTTGGGTTCTTGCCCCAGGGGCTGCCTACACATTTTGCATTTGTAATTGAGTAACATACATAAAGAGCGCTTGAAGCAGGGGCATCCAGGTTGCCTCTCCTTCTCCTTCTCCCAGCATGCAAGTGCCTCCATCCTTGAGCTATGAAATCATGCTTAACCTCCTGCTTAAATCAAGATTATAAATCTCACATCTCTCTCTGAACCAAGCCACAGTTACAACAGGAGAGGATGCACTTTTTTCTTCCCTTTCTTCTAGGTTTATATCTTCCTGGGATGTGCAAATGTGAAAACCAGTTCCCTCTCTCTGAGATGAGCATTTTCTTTCTTTTTTTTTTTTTTCTGCTTCCTGTCCAAGTAATAGGCTATCTGACAACACCAATCCACTGGAAATGAAGAAACAGAGATGTCTGGATGCCTAAGGGCAGGTGTGTGGTTTGCAGCTCTGAAAACATCTTCCACTAGCACTGAAATCCAGAAGAGAAATCAGAAATTCAGAAATTTCTCTCCTTTCAGTGATTTCTATTGGCTGGCATGTGTATTTCCCTTGCTCAACAAGCCCACTGCTGTAAATCACATTTCTGGCACTCTTAGTTCACTCTTAGTGGCGTGTACCTGGTACTGAGTTCCAGGCTTGAGAATTACAATTACAAATGCAGACAATGAAGAGTCAGGCACAGCAACATGGACTGAAATGTGTATGTCTGAAAACAGAAAGTCATATTCTGGAACTTAAGTAAAATCAGTTTAAATCCAAAAGTCCTAGTTTTAGACATTTGAACAATAGGAATATTGCCTCTAAAGCCCTGATTCCCCAATGTATTAGTCTGTGCAATACCTACAAGCAAATACACACAATTCTGATCACGCTAGAATGCATTCCTGATAGCAGTGTTCATAAGATAGACTCAAGAACAATATAATGCATCTCTTTTGCACCTTTTATGTCTTTGCTTGCTTTCTGCCTGCTAATAGACCTCAACTAAAACTACATTCCAAGCCTCTCAGCAAATTTCAAACAGCTGCCATTTCTTTTTTTATGACATAAAAATATTTCCTTCTTTCCCTCCAAATGGGAATCAGGTGAAATTAAATTTCAGTATGCGATGCTGTATTCTAGGCAGTGACATTTTACTATACAATGAATCACCAGCACTAGAAACATCTGTATTTTATCTTTTTGAAGAACTGGGATTCCTTGCTTTCTGGTAAAGCATAACATTTGTACACAGACCAAGAGGTTCACAAGGTATCAGATTTTAAATTCATAACTCCCTGAAGATAAAGCAATTATATATTTTGTTTGATATTTCTGTATTTCCAATGCATAGAGTAGTGTGCATTTTGCAGCTAGAGATAGAGGAAAATAGTTCCCATAAATTAATCAAATTAACAGTTTGAAATCCCTCTTTTTTTTTGATAGATATAAATATATAATTGACAGTGGCCAGATTCTTCTAACACTCACTTGGGCAAATCTGTGTAATTCATAGCTTCATTATTCCTAAACAATGTGGTCAATAAAACTATCACATAGAAATCTGACCTGAAAACAAGGCAAGAGTCATAATGTTCAGCTTAGGGACTGATTTCAAGATAAAACTGCAATGTATGTCTATTTTTTTTTTTGTAATTTATAGGTACATTGCTTTGATCTCTTAATCTTTAAATGGATTTGTTCAACTTTGCCATGGGAATGAAAAGCACTAATGTGTTGGAAAACTGAGAAGGAACTTTGGAGTTTGATAACAGCTAGATGCTGTTACAGGATAATTAGTTTAACAAGGTGGTCCAGTGTAAATTTGAGTGTGTAAAGGCCCCTGAATTCCTACCTGTGCAACTCAGTACCTGAGACTCCCAGAGCTTTCAGGAAGATTTAGAGATATTCACAACTCCTCCAATGAAAGCACTGCTATGGAGCTGTCTACAGTTACATCAGAGAAACAAATTTTTGTCACTTGGTTTAAGGATTTTTAACCATTTCTTTAATGAATTTTTGAAGTATTTTTCCTGACACATTAGATGTTCAGCAAGGCAGCATTTAAAGAAATCATTACTCTGTGCAGAAGGATTGTATATAAAGATATATGTCAAGATAAAATCTCTAGCTTGAATAATTCCCTTATAAAATGCAGTTGTTTTACACATAAGTACAGTTTAAATATATTTCTCATTGAGATCCATTAGCAATGCGGAATGCTGTTATTTAGATAATAGCTCTCCTATGAACCTTCTGTTAAATTTCATGCTATGATGTACCTTATTTTAAGTTTCAGTCACTTCATATTTTAAGAGGCACCTGGAACTACAAGGATGATGTTGATGAGTGAGTGGCTGATGTAGAAACTTTTTGTTAAACTGTTTAGAAAATGCTAAAATGTGCTACCATTCAATTTTTTGAATTAAAAGTATTATTAAGAGTTCATAAAACAGGATATATTGATAAGTTACGTTTTTAAGCAAGTTCTTGGACTACATGGACAAAGGTAGTGCTGATGACAAGGTAGGCCACGGCAGGGCTGCCAGGATGCTCAGGGCTGGAGCACTGCCTTGCAAAGAGAGGCTTAGAGACCAGGGCTCCTTTAGCCTGGAGAAGAAAATGTCTGGGGGTTCCTCAGAGCAGCCTTCCCGCACCCAGGAGGAGGTCATCGAGAAGACAGAGCCAGGCTCTGTGCAGCAGTGCAGGGCAGCAAGATGAGAGGCAACAGGCATAGGTTGAAACAAGGGAGGTTCGGAGTGAATGAGTCTTTTTCTCCATGGGACAGTCCACCTCCTAATGTCCCTTCCAAGCTGAACTACGCTATGCTATGCTATGCTATGATCCTATGTATGTCCACACACTTTTAAGTCTTACGGACTCCAAAATCACAAAGGACAGACTAGTTTTTAAGAAACAATTCCCAGAAGAAAATAATGGTCATGCAACAACCATGTCACCACATCTGCTGGATGCAATTGCCAGAAGGAATAGTGTTCCTTTCTTAGTATGTATTTCCCTTGCATGATCCTTAAATTTCTCATAAAATCTACTTTTCCATTGATTTTAGTGAAACTTTTTGCACTGCAAGCAGCAGAAGTGAATAACATGCAAGCAAAAGTTCTTGACTGAATTTTTAAATTGAAACAAGTAGATAAGATGAAAGAGTGAAGCAGTTAAAATGCAGTTTAAAGTTACTGTATTGTTCAGTTCCACAATTTTTTTTAGGACTGACAATAACTGTCAGTGAGACAATAACAAGTCCAAGCTAGATTGGTCAAGACAGCAAGGAAAGCAAAAGCCCCAAGGCAAGACAGTTGGAAAAATAAAGGATAATGCCTACTGGAGCAACTAAAGAGAGCCCTGCAGGGATGTTTCTCATAATCTTTTCCCACATACAGATGGTTTAGTCAGGACCATTCCAATTCTTGTTTTAAATAGTGGCTCCACCAAAACTGCAAAAAGCCTAAAATGTTTGGCATAAAGATTTAAAAATACTGAATACTTCCACATTTGGACACAGACTTTGGAGAAACTAATTTTTATTCATTTTATGAGAAAGGCAAAAGGGACTGAGTGTATCTCTACAAAGATACAGATGTGGAGCTCCAAATTTACGCAGCACACAAACTTGAGAGTTTCACTTCCCAACTCAGCATGCCTGGAAGCTGTGACAATTCGTTTATTAATCTCTCAGGCATTCTCCACTTATGGGCTCAGATGGAACTTCAGCCTTAATTGAAAGGCACTTTCCACTGTCAGCAACCTAGCAAGCAGCACCACATGTGCTGACGAGGCGCAACCCGAGCAGGACAAAAAGTAGAAGCCTGATCAAAATCCTTGTTTTCCTATTTGGACAAAACTGCAGGCCAGAATCTGAAGTGTCTAGCTGGAGGTAGCACAACATCTAGAGTGGAGGATATACAATGACTTTGGATATATACACCTATACATTGCCAAAGAGAAAATCACTGTTTATATATGTTACCTCATACTGCAAAAAAAACCCGTGTTGAGGTATAGTGGCATGGACTGTTCCTGCTGTATTACCAGTTTGCTTGTATATCGCAGGAGGTCCAGTGCAGTGTGCTTCTGGTGTCACACCACCAGACACATTCCTAGAACCTTGGAAACCTTTGAGACCAAATCTCCTGCTCCCTGGGCTTCTCTGGGTTCTCTTCAGTAATGAATCATTCTGGATCTCTCTTCTGAAAAAGAAGAAGAAAAAAAAGTAAAAAAAAAGTCAAGGATTCCATTATGAGATTTCTTTTTCTCCTTTTTGTAAAAAGAGAAATGAAGAAGCAATAGAAAAGTATTGTAGCAAGGAAAATGAAAGAAAAAAGAAAAAGGAAAAAGCTGTTTTACACATCCCAGGAAATGTGCACAAGACCAAAGAGAAATAAAATTATACTGAAAGCAGTATGTCAAGAATATGCAGCAAAAAGAACACTTTTTTTTATCAGCTCCTCAAACACATATGCAATGCAATGAACTCTGAAGTGCCATCTACTGGTATATCTTGTATTAACTAACCATATTTCATGGACTCCATCATGGTATACAAGAAACTTGAGTTTCATTCTTTTTTCTGCCATTGACTTTCTGCTAACTGTGACCAAGAGACTTTGCCAGATCAGTGTCTTAATCCGCCCCTTGTGCAAAAAAAAACATACTAAGACTTCACAGCTATATGAAGCTCTGTGAGAGCTAATGCTAAAAAGTTTAGTAAGACAAGTAGGATTTTTTGTAGCCTTGTCTGCGTACAAGCTGAGTACGCCTATAAGAAAGGTTGAAAATGAAATAGGAAACACAAAGAAATGGAGAAAAGAAAAAAGCAGAGGAAGAGAAAAGGAGACTAGGGTAAAGACCAGTAGGAGTTAAGGAGGAGGAGAGTCGATAGAATACACTGTAAGTGATTAATTGCTAAGGACAATACAATTTACACTGCCGTTTTAGCAGACGTGTGTGTGTTGCTCCAGCTGAGGGAACAGCAGACACTCTAGATCTAGTTTCTGACACACAATAACTGTGAATTCTATTATGTGAAAATAATAAATCTAAGCAGCACCTCCAACATATGAATGAGCAAGAAAGAGAGGGTCATATTTTCAGACGTGTTAGCACATATTTGTCAACACCCTACTTAGCTAAATAGCACAAAAGAAGGCGACAAGACAATGGTAAAACACACCCGGAGCCGCGTGTGAGCTCCCAAATACATCCACGGTTTCGAAAGCCTGACCCATATTTAATAGGTAGGATCCCTAGGGATGGCAGGCTGCACAGGGTCCTGGGCAGAGTGGACGGATTTGTTTTGCTGATGTATTTACTGGCTGGTATGTTAATTTTTTCAATGTGTTATAGAGCAGTTCCCAAGTTAGGGTCGTGACCCCACTTGGGGCCCACAAGCCTGCAAGTGAAAATGAAAGTGGGGTTGTGACCCTGGAAGTGGGATTGCAACAGGAAAACTTTGGGAAGCCCTTCAGTTGTGCTACCAGGTAAGTCCTCTACATAGATTGGGAGTTTAGTCATTGCTGAAGGATACAAATGTCTAAGGTGCTTATATTTTCAGAGACTTAGGTCTCATTTTTGACTGATCTACTACCAGATTCAAGAAAAGGCTTTGGGTTATAGCACAACATTAAAGAACTGTGCATACTATAGCTTGAAAAGGTTAGGACCATCATGCAGTGAGGACAGATCCACCATTTTTAAAAAAATGCTATTTAGTAGTGGTATCTTTCTGGTTAGAGCACTTCCCTTACCACCCTCGGCCTCAAGAAATCACACTCGCCCCTACCATTTTCCAAGAGGACAATCTTGGCATCGAGCTCTCATGGTGAGATGAGGCCAAGCTTAAGTGTGTTTTATCACACCTCTGTGGTGTTATCAGGGGAAGTAGGGGTTGCCCATTGCCACCTTTATGATCTGTAGTCTTTGGGTAAGGCAACAGAGAGCTTAACGCCTTGGGCGAAGTTACTGAATACCAAGTGACATCCACTCTGAACAAAAGAGCAAGTCTTAGGCAGTTCTGAAGAAGCGAGACAGCCATCTACTTCACGAATAGCTTGAGTTCAACCTGCACTCCAGAGGTTTTTGGGTTCAGCTGCCAGCACTCATCAACCTAGTACCACTTCAAGCACCCTAGGATATCCTGCTTGGTGTCCAACTGCTGTTCCCAAAGGACAAGGTTCTTCCATAGATTCTGTGTCATATTTGACAGCCCCATGAGAAGGTCTAGGATACCCTATTGCACAATGTTCATATGTATGGACAAGTGAATTGAGTCATTATTGTCTTAAATTACATTAGTATTTCTGAATATGCTCATTAAAAGTAAACATAAAGAGTTATATCTCCTTATTTCCCCATGTCATAAGCACATTTATTGCAATCTTAGATTATATTGTGCAATGAATATAGCATTCATGGTAGAACTGGAAATATTCTGGACTTTCACCTTGATATTCCGCAGTTAATAATAAAATATTTGTGCTATAAAACATGTCATTTTCGTAAGTGACGAGGTATTAACAGGTGATTTTTTGCAGTGACATGTCTTTTTTCTCATTTATTAGTAACTTGTATTGATTTATACTGGGCTTAATTATTGATGCAAATATTTCATCCATATTTTTTTCTGTCACAAGCAGGGAAAAATGTATGGCTGTGAATAATCCATACAATGGTTTATGAAGCCCAAATTCCTCAGAGAGTATCGCATATCCACCTGGTCTCCCTGAATACTGCATTTCACATTTAGATCTCTGAATTAGCAGATGTGTACAATCATACAGGCAGATACCTCCTTCTTGATACTACATCTGAGGAGACTCATGGGCTCTGTTTATTTTAATAAAATTGTGAGATATATTGAGCTTGTGAAATTTGCTCCAAACTTACTCATTTCAGAATGGTAATAAACAGCAGTACTCTGCTCAGAGCTGAATTTCAAAGTTTTTGTTTATAAAGCACATCCCCACAAAAAAAGCTTACCAACTATAATGTTTTTCCAGAAACAAAACAGCCACGATTTCTGAACAGAAGCACCTCAGCCTCAAAAACATACCTTTCTTTGCAATCCTACTAAAAAGTAAATCTTATTACATTTTTGTTTCATGAACATTTCAATACATGACATCCAACACATTTCAATTAATTCAGGCAAATTTAAAATTTATATAAGTCACTATTGTCAGAACTACAGCATTAGAAAGGGGGTTCCAGAAAGAAGGAAAATGATTTAAAGCTTACAATATTATAAAATATTGCAAATTTCAAATAATTCCATTTTCTACATTAAAAGTGGGTATTGCTGAAAGCATTTTCAAGCTTTTCACCACAAGAAGAAAGATAGCTGGAAAGGTCATTTCAAAGCTAGAACAATGTTTTAATATGAAGCACTGACTTTCATGCATTTATGTTATGCAAGAACTTGAGGATTTAAGAAACAAAACAAAAACAAATATTGAAAAACATGATAAAGTCATAAGAGTCAGCAGGGCTGACTGCCAGAGAGCGAGCAGTTTATTTATTCAGAACTGTTCTGGCTCTATGAAATAGAAGCCTCGTCTAGACTTAAGAACTTCTCTTTTTATTAGTCCCACAAAGGGTAATCCTTTCCCTTATCTAGAAATAACATTTCTAGCTTAAATGTGTTTTAAAGGTGTATCTTGCTTGTGGTCAATGAAGCAAGTCAACATCTTCACCAAGAGTGCCAGCATAGCTACCTCTGCATTAGGGCTGTGTTAGGAACAGTTATGATGATGAAAAAAATTACACTGCTAGCAAACATAAGTTTTCGTAGCATGATTATTACGTATAGATCAGACTTGAATGTACTATTATTTTCTGCAGGAATCACAGAAACTAAGTTCAACATTTGGGATTTACTTTTTCACAGGAACTAGTAGCCACAGCTGCTTATGAAGTTTTAGTGTTTTTCACTATAGTAGCAAATCATATAAGAACATATCAAATAAGCTTTTATTATAGTCTTGTAAAATAGTCAACAGCATGTATGAAGCTCAGAGCCTATGCTCCACTCTTTGTTCTGGTGATGTTAAAGAAGAAACACATAATATTTTGACATATCTTATCCAGAGAAGAAGAACAATTGACTATGGATGTCATTTTGAAACCCTCATCTTTTCTAATTAAAAGCAAAATATTTAATTTATTCAAAGATATATGAAAAAAACTCTGCATATATTATCTGTGTATTCAGACCAAATAACTGTACCCTTATTTGCACATACAACCACCTGCTCTCCGTCTCAGGGAAATGCACACATATATCAACCTGCTGTGTTTCCTACTCCTTTAACACAGAACTACAGAGATTTTTCTTGAAGAATCAGGACAGAAAGGCAGCAGATAATTCCCAATTAATGATTAAAATCTCAATTAACTCAATGAATACTTTAATAAGAAAATAGTGTAGAATTAATATACTAATAACAGAGAAGGTGCTTGTTATTAATGTACCTGGGAAAAATTTGATCATCTTGAATAGCTCAAGTGAACTTCACAGTCTGCATAGGAGAAATGCCAGATTTGAAATAAGTAGTTGCCTTATGGAATCTTGGCATTTTCTCCTATTCAGAAATGCAAACTGTGAAGTTCAGCGGAGCTATGCAAATCACCCTGTCTTACACTTAGCTTATTAGGCAATTCTGCCTTGATATTCTGAGTAGTGAACTGCATAGTCCTAATAGCATGTGGAATTAACATGTTACTTAAGAGTGGAAATACTGTTAGTAAATAATTATTTAGAATAATTTCTTACATGCTTGAAAACTGGTGTATGCCTAATACAGCTAGGAGGACTGAAGCAAGGAATGAAGAACAGATTTTGGACAGACCTTATGGGTTACTGATACCACTAGGAACACCTCAGGTTTATCACTCAATCTGGAATGTTATCTAGGGAATGTGGATAGTTCATTCACATTTCCTTTTCTGTGTATCACTGATCTAGCCGTGTAAGAAGAATTTATCTGATCCACTAAACAGAAAGACATCATGCAATTATGCTTTAAAAAGAATCACAACAAATTTGACACAATTAAAGCAATACTAAGATACAGAAATAAATATAGAAAAAGAAGGAAGAATGCAGGACAACAAATCATATTAAAATAGCCAGATGGACTAGTAGTCCTAGCAAGTGAGTAATCAAGTTAAATCACTCATGCTTATATGGCTTTATTTTAATTTCAGAAACATGATCTTACAGCAGGTAATTAGCAGCTACCTTCTAGTAACATCCTAGTGGAAAGAAAGCATCCCGATTTTCCAAAAGGAATTAGGTAGAGTCAATACTATCGCCTTCATGCTTCACAGCAGGAACAGTATTTCCTTGTCTCTGTTAGGATTTCATAAAGAGCAGGTACTAGTGGAACCAGTGGAAAAAGAAACAAGCAAAATGGAAGCAGGGAAAACAGGACTTTTAAATTTTCTCTGCAACGCTAACTTGATTAATATGCAGCTGATTTTGAGCACCTGTGTTAGCCTTTGCCCAGTGAGCCACAATGCAATATTACTCCTCCCCCAGCTAGATCTGTACTGCCTTTAGGTGTGTAGTTTGGTGTTCTGGGTAAGATTCCCCATTGGTTTTTGTTTGTTGGATTTTTTTCTGCAGGAAGATGAGCTGTTCTCTAACTCCTTCATTAGAAGAACTTTCTGAATTGGGTAGAGCTGTTGGGAAGCATTAAATGGCAATCAGCACTTTGATGATTTTAGCTTGGATTTTCACTGCACTGGAAATGTGCAACCAGTCTTGATAAAAGTGAAATCCAGACGCTAATGGTATAAAGATTAGACAGTGAGAAAGGCTAGAGAAAAGCCTGACAAAATGCTGACTTTTGCATTTCTGAAGCTATTTTTAGTAGTATGTCTGTCTAAGATTTATTAATTATTCCAATAGACGTAATTGCAGCTAAAGATATTTGTTTAAAGAAATTCTCTTGATATCATCTGAAAATAAAGCCTTGATCTCACATACTAAGTACATGTATGGAAGATCAAAAAAAAATTTTTTTTCTTTTATTGAGAAGAGGATTTGGGTGCTGGTTGACTTTTTTTGACAACATACCTCCTTTGATCAAGGCCTATAGAGTGCTTGCATACCCTGAAAAGACACAGTCAGGAAGTCCATTATCAAGGAAGTCACATCCCTCTTCAGAGATTACATCCTTAAGGTAAAATAAAATGCCACCCATATTTCAAAAAATGCTAATTTCTGCTCTCTGTAAAAAGTAAGTTTACAAAGGAGGAGGCCTCAAAAATGGCTTTATTAATTCTACAAATTAACAAGGATCTTTTCTGCACTATTTTGCAAACCAAATCCATGAAGTTGTGGGGTTTGTGATCAACAGATCCTACAAATCACAATCAGTAAGAAGGCATGATAGAAAGAACAATAAAGTTTCTGAACAGCTTTCTAGCAGGAGCAATGGCAGAAATAATAGCCCGGTTCATCTTAAGGAGAAACTTA